AAAACCCCAAAACCCCAAAACCCCATGTTCTCAAAATATCAATCGATTCAAGTATTAATTAAAAATCAATCATCATTTAAATAAGGAAAGTCAATATATTTCCTCAGTTTATCGCTAAATCCATATTGCTTAATAGTTTATCCCTCAGATAACTTTATTCTATGAGAAATTGGAACATATTAGAGTAGTTCTTTATATTTAGGTTGTGCCAGCAATTCATAACAACCAACAGTTTATAGTCCTTTTTCTTCTACCATCTATTCATGCTTTGACTTGTAAGCTAAATAACTAATGTTAGCTATTCTCATTTGACTCAAACTGAAATCTTTTAGCTTCCTAAAGCCCTAATTGAAGATTAATAATATGAATTATTTACTAAATGATTTCGCAAATACATTTCTTCCTGAATCCAAAAGTCCAAATCACTCTTATACAAACTCTTATAAAATCTCACTAATCCCTCGAAACCAAGAAGCTCTTATTCCTGACTAGATTTAATAAAGTATTCTTCAATGAAGTTTTTAATCATAACAAAGAATAGAACAGCTGCAACAGCAATAAGAAAAACTAGAACAGGGAATGCATGATCTATTTCAATATTGGCAATATCATGACCAGTGTAAATTATTTCTTTCGCATACTCTTTAGGATGAATGGTATTGGTAAAAATTTGCTTATTACTAAGCATCCAATAGCCAAAACCTAAATAAAGGATGACACCCCATTAAAGTATATTTAAAGCAGTTTAGGTAAGTTGCTAATCAAATAGGGGAGGTTGTTTATATAGATAGACAGTCAATAATCTATCAAGACAGTACTAAATGATGAAATTCATAAGTACTACTGGAATAATCATCGGAACACCTACCCCATAAAGCATAGAAACGAAAACATTAACAATTATTCCAGAATATCTGTAATGAATGAGCATTTCTGGTCCTGAATAGCATTCAATGAATTATGATTTAGTCTTAGACTAAGACTAAATTTCTTGTAAGGGCTTGATTTTTGTAATTGTCTTGCTATCTTTATACTGCTTGATTCTGTTATAAATTGATATTTTAATTGTATCAATCAAAGGACTCAATCCAAGTATAAACAAGGTCTACGTGTAAATCGAGCCAATCTTGTAATACCATTCCATTGTAAAATCAGGATATGATCCATTGAATATTTTTTTCACGTAAGGTAAGTGGGCATTCTCAAAATTTGAATGAACAGATAGAAGAATTAGTCCAGTATTGATGAATTAAGATATGAATAGGAATTTAAGGATTGAATTCATTTGAGATGAGAAAGTTTTTTTCCCAATCCATTTTACCAAATCTATGATTGTGGTTCTGAGTAGGTAGTTAAACATCAGAATCATTAATGAAATACCAAACTTGGTAACCTTCAAAATATATTTTCCTTATAGGAACTCGGAGCAGATCTGTCCTCCTATCATATCCCCTTTCTTATTAGTGGTTGTGTACTCATTTAAAAGTGCCGCCTAAATACCATCATGATTTACTAAATTCTCACAAAAGCAGAGATGAGCACTTCTTTAATCAGTATTAAGATCATTACTAAAGTCATGCCATTGAAGAATTGCAAATTTCTAAAGATTATCCCCGTAGACTTGCTTGATATCATGACAATCAACTATTGGGTACTTACTTTAAAACTGAACGTTTTTCTTGGTTATAAGGAACATGAAGGAAACTTAGACGAGGAGAATTAAGACCACAATCAAAAATGTTGAGATTTTTCTAAACGTCTTTAGCCAAAATGGCCAGTACTGATTTTCCCACATTATATTTGAAGGCTCTGGAGCAGCCTTGAAATAGACTGGTTTACCATACCAGTAATGATCTGCTCTATCTTGACAACATACTGTTTACTTTGACATGTGACATGCTCTTTGATAGCCTTCCTCATCTTAAAAAATTATATAGGCTCTGACGGGTTCAGAAAATTCTTCTTATTTTTCTGTCAAGATATTGTCTAATTCTTATTCAACTTTAATAATTTTATCCTATTCAGATGACATGATATAAGTTCCTCGATCCATTAGTTTCCTAATTATAACTGAACTCTTGAATGCGAATACTACATCAACTATTTTAATCCGTTTTATTTCAGGATCAACGCAAGCAGGCCTCATTGCTAAGATCTGTTCAATCTCATTTATTAAATGCTCTTTAAAACGAAATATTCTGCTTGAGTTCAAGATATTTGACTTATTTCTCTTTAAAGTATCTCTAAATAATGAGCCCTTAAAGTTTTATCTTTCTAAAATATCGTTTTCCTCAGTTAATGTTAACTTTGCTCTCAATTCTTTATCCTTCTAGCAAAAGGCATCAAACATCTCCTTATGAATCTTAAATTCAACTGTGTAATCGCTAGTAGTTGTTGTAGCTAGATCCCACTCTTCGTATTTTTCTGATGCTCTCTTCTTGAACTATTAGATGAAATAAGTGAAAATAATGGCTTGAATGATAACCAAGAAACTCACAAGAAGACCAGATCGGCTTTTCTCTTCTAACTACTCTTCGCTTTGAAGGCATTAGACCTAAACATAAAATACAGCATCATCATCTATGCAACTTTGATACAATTCCTCGTCATTAGAATAGCCTGTATTTTTTAAGAATTGATAGAAATTTTCAAGATAACAGGCATCCTTTCCAATGCATTCCTCCTCAATAGACTTTTAAGCTTTTTTAAGATCTATAAATTTATTGCAAACATCATTGTTTTTATTCACACATCTTAAACCTTTATCTTTTGGCTTGAAAATATTGAGAAATTCAATAAAAGAAGTTATAGAGATAGCATCATTGACTGGTGGCAGATTTTATTTTTAACTAGCATGTATGCCAAAGCTATGCACCTTTTAAATTGAACCGTAAGGGCATGCTAGCAGATTATGATTTACACCAAAGTTAACGCTTGAACACAATGGCTCTGAAAAACCTAAATTGCCAATTGAAAGCTTGGCACTAAGTGGAGCACCACTTAAGCTTTTCATTCCATCGTATTAGTTGTAAATGTAAATGATTACCAAATTTATGATGCTCATAATTCCATAGAGTTTAATGAACGAAGCTAAGGTATCAAAGTAGGCATTAACACCATATCCTAAAGATAGGAAGTACTTATTTTTCATTTTTTGTAAAGTTTAACTTTCCATTAAACCTCTTAGGTTTGGATTGGAGGATTTATCTGACTCACCATACATTGGGGATTCTGATCTATCTGGGGTTTTAGATTGTCTATCTTGGATAAAAGACTAGTTTGGAGACTAATTTTTACTTCTATTTTTTCTTTGACTTTTGATGTATGCATTTGAATTTTTTTTCTTTCCTACACTTTATGATAATCTTCTATCTCTGTATTTTTCACTAGTCATGTCAATATTCTTGTTCGTGTAAATTTAGATTGGATCTTAATCTGCTTCAATATTTTGTTGCTACCTTTCTCCATCATTTTAATCAAATTGTTTTACTTCCTCTTCTTCAACTAACTTGAGATGGCGATTAGAATTTTTCTTTGAAGGGGACATTAATTTAACTGCTTATTATGGCAGTTTTGTAAAAATCTTTAAGAAAGGCCAGATTTCATCAAAAGGTACATTGCTATAGTACAAGGGATGATTCTCGATGATGATCTCTTTAGCTTCTCTTATCTATAAAAATTATATTATGCATTATTAACCTCTGTTTCCGTAAGATATTAACTCTTATGTGTAGCTTCCATCTGAAAACCTTTTTGAATTTTAAATACTCTATTTAAATATATTCATATAAATCAATAACTTGGGGTTTTGGGGTTTTGGGGTTTTGGGG